AACAAGTGAGCACTAAATGAGTCAGTTAAGTTGTGCTGGGGAAAGATAAAGGGAAGGAAAAGATAACAGAGGAGAAGCAGTAGAATGAGTTAATGATAACTGGGGACTGGGAAGTAATGACTGGTTTGAAAACAAAAAGAGGAAAGGAAAAACCCTGCTATGAACAAAGTCTCCTTAATAAAAGTCAATGATTATTGCAAACATCTGAGGCATTGCTGTACGCTGCTGAAACCAGACAAACAGTACACACAAAAGAAGGAATGAAAACCTTGGCTTTCAGCTCGATGGAGGTAGTCAAGTGTCAAGCTCCTTTGGGAAAAAGGCTTCAACATCCTTCTGGGACATGTGAAAAAGCCCCTGGTTTAGCTGCTGAGCAAGTGCAAGTAGGAAGACACTGGGAGTCTTGTGGCTCTGAAAGAGGTCCAGGTGGCAGAGAAGAAGTGGAAGCTGCTGGGCAGCTGTGGACAGAAAATTATACGTCGTAATGAAAAGATGGTTTGTCTCCTTTTCTTCAGGGTTTGCTGTGTTTTCAGAGACAATCTTTAGACTAGAAAATACAATACCAATACAATCTAGAGCCAGATTTTTCAAACCACTACGAGAAATACTTCAGTCTGTTGATTTTCTCATCCTGCTGCTGTCCCCCAGCACAGCACCCACCTTCCCTTTCTGGGAGAGCCCTCAGCAAGGTGGGTGCTTGGCCTCACCTCACAGGCCATGGCACCTTTTGCCTGTGTTAGTGTTGCTGACATCCATCCGAACAAAAAGTTAGGGGAATTCTGGCTGGAGTGTTGATGACAGGCGGCTCTGCCAGATCATAAATCCTAACTAATGGGTCCTCCCTGGAGATAAGCTCAGCAGTAGCCTCTAGGTGAGAGGGAAAGAAACTCACTGGGAGCCTGTTCAAGGTTAAATACGAGCTAATGGACTTCCTTTCCGCTCTGTGCAATCTCCACGTGGTGCAGATCTAAAGGGGAGCTGACAGCTCCAGCAGCTTCCTCTTACTTTTAAACCAGAACCACTGTCCTGCAACCTTGGACCACCCTGCACACCAGGACATTTGGTAGCAGTTTTCTTCTCCTGCCCAGAGCAGGCAGGACCTTAAAGCTGTGTCTCTCAAGAGACACAACTAATGAGAGGAACTGCAAGAAATCAGGGCAGAGAAACAAGGGCAGAACCAAGCAGAAAAGCTGACACATGACACAGGGTTTGGCATCCTTGTTCAAAGGGTTCAAAGGTGCTCTCCAGTCACCGTGTGTAGCACCTAGCCAGCATGGCTGAGGCAAACCTGCTTCTGTTGGCAAGGCGGTGTGTTTTGTGCAGCCACATTTCCTTCCCAGCCTTCTTACAAGTTCAGTGGGATTGATTTGTGGCTGAAGAGGTGCTCCAATCGTGGCTGTGGCCTTGTTCACCATTTCTATCCTTACTTTTTCTAGTTTCCATCTGTTGAACTCACATTTAGTGGAGTATTGGAGAAAACAAACAGAATGAGCTGAGAAAGAACAGCTCTTGTAGCAGTGGGGAACAAAGTGACACGGACACCCTTATGTATCTTGAGGAAATCTCTTTATTGTAAAAACTGGCCCCTTTTTATACCTTTAATTTCAACCTGACATAACTGAAACCAAAGCGAGACTTAACAGAATTGAACAGAAAGAAGGCATCCATTGGCTGGCTCAGCTGCCATGCTGCTCTCCACATGTTCTCCCATCTAATCACCTTCCTGCTCATACCCTGTCCACACATTCCTTCAGCCATCACAATCTCACTTCCAACTGAGTTTCTTCTCACTCATAAAGGCCTCTCACCTCTCAATTAACTCCCAACCATCCAGCCTGCAGCTCTGCCTTTCCCATGGGACCTTCCCATGACCATAAGCGATAGAAACTTTAATAATTATAACTCCACATCCTACAAGCTCAGATCAGGTTGTGGTCTTGGACAGATACTTGCAACCATCCACGCCGGTTGAGATGTTTGAGGGGATGGATCACAGCCTGTACTTATAAGGGCCTTTGATCAAAGTCTGAGGAAGAGCAGCTGTCAGTGATCCCAGAAGGAAGAGATGTTGAAATTCCAGGCAGAAAACTGAAACTTGAGATGCACATCTTCACCAGAATGTCTGTTGAGAAAACCAGATTGCAATGAAACTGCAAGATGGAACACATCTGATTCAGAGCCATGTCAGGTGACAGATTCTGTACAAGCCTTTGAGGGAGCCTGGAGACAAACAAAGCTGTGATGGGACACCATGTGGGTATCCATGGGCTGAGAAAATGATGGCCAATTGAATGGGTATCAAAGAATACCAATGACATAAGTGATAAAGTGGCTGCAGGGACTGATTAATGAAAGGAGATGAAAAGAAAGGATGGTTATAACTAGGAAAATAAGTGATGCCTGTGTGTAAAACACATACAGCTGTCAAGGGGAAAAACTGTTTAGGGGAGTACACAATGTGGTTGTAACCAGAAGTAATTGGGTGAAATTGAATAAATGAAAATATAGAACAAATATCTTTCTGACCATGGGACTTTCTGGGCTGTGAAACAGACTCAGAAAGAAAGAGGTGCAAGCTCCAGTTCCTGAGGCATTTAAAAGAAAAATCATACAAGTGCTGTAAATCCTCTACCATCAGGGATGCAGAGTAGATGACCTAACAAATCTTTTCCACTTCAAATTTCTATATTTGATATTAAGAATCTCAAAAACCTCCAACTTGCCATGAGACAGAGAATAATAACCCAGCTTTCGGGGAAAGCCAGTGGTAATCTCATGCAGGTAAAAAGGCAAAATGTCATGGTGATGAAACAGAGAGGATAAGAGGGGAAAGAGAAGCAATGCTCTGTATTTGGCATTCAGTTTTGGACTCCTTGCTTTAAAAAGGACATTAAGGAGCTGTGGCATGTCCAGAGAAGGGCAACAGGGCTTGTGAAGGGTCTAGAAAATATGTCTTATGGAGAATGCCTGAGGCAGCTGGGGTTTAGTCTTGAGGAGGCTCTGGGGAGACCTCATTGCTCTCTACAACTCCCTGACAGGAGGGTGAAGGGGGCCAGTCCCTTCTGCCATGCCCTCAGTGAGAAAACGACAGGATATGGCCTTGGGCTGAGACTCAGGATTTTTAAATTTGTTATGAGAAAAAAAAAGTCACAATATGGGGGCATCAGGCCTTGGAAGGGGCTGCCCAGGGAGGTGGTGGAATCCCCATCCCTGGATGTGCTTAAATGGCATCTGGATCTGACACCAAGTGATACAGTTCAGTGATTTAGGGGATACAGCAGTGCTGGGTTGACAGTTGGACTGGATGATGTCAAAAGACTCTTCCACCCTTGATGATTCCATGACTCTGAAGAGCAACAGCTCTACTTCAGATGTTCACCTGTGCTGAGGGAAGGCAGTAAATATGAATCCTTCACTGTTGAGTTGGTCCTATATTTAAAAAGGATCACTGGTTGCTAGGCTGGGGATAGTACCGTCACTCATTTAGTTTAAGGCCAAAATGAAGCTGTAAGAGGCTGCAAAGAGCGGGTCCTGCTTTGCAGAATGGACCAAGGGGTGCCTACAGCAGTCTGCCCTATTGGCCATGCAGGTGAACCAGCCCTGCATCATGCCAGCACACTACACGAAACATGAGCTCAGCCTTGCTCTGAGAGCACCGCGGTTGGATTCCCTCTCGTTTGCCATTTTTGGTAGCACCAAATCGCTCACAGGAGCCTCCCCTATGGCAGCGCACAGAATCTTCCAGCAGCTCCAGAGGCAGCTCTGCCCTGCAGCCCTACGGGTACACAGCAGTGCCCTGCTCCCAGGCAGCTTCAGGCCTTGCAATGAAGTGGGTGCATCTAAAAACCAGCCAGGACCCCAGAAACTGCCCGTAAAATCACAGAGAGGTTTGGACCAAGAGATGGCCGAGGTGTTTTTCACTTTCCCCCTGCTCTTTTCGCTCCCATCACGAGGGCTGGGGCTATACCGTGCCGGAGCCAGACAGAACCGGGCGCTGACCCCATCGCGGATGGGAATCACACACAAGGCAGGAGTTTGTGTCCACCCGCTGCGGGTGATCCAAACACATCCCTGAAACCGCTCTGGGGTCCGAACGCAGGGCCAGGCCGGGTTCTGAGCACGGGGACCGGACCGGGCCAGACCGTGCTCTGAGCAGGGGCACCGGGCCGGGCCAGGCCGGGCTCTGAACACGGGACCGGGCCGGACAGGGCCCGGCCGGGCCGTTGGCACCTCACGGACGCCCCGTGCCCTCAGCGGTCGCGCTGCGCTGCGCGGCCAGGGCTGCCGGAGCGGCAGCGGAACAAAGCTCGCTGTGCCACCGGGGCCCGCCCGTCCCGCTGCCGGCCCCGGGACCGCCGCTCGCCGCTTAAAGGACCCGCGCGGTGTCAAACGGCCCCGGCTTGGCTATGGCGACACGGCCCGGCCCGGCCCGGCCGCGCCTTTCCAGCCTCCCCCAGCCCGGGCCGGTCCGCAGCGGCACCCAGGCCCCGGCCAGAGCCAGCCGCACGCCCGCTCCGCCCGCGGCCCGGGGGCTCTGGGCCGGCGGTGGCCGTCGCTGTCGGCGCGGCCCCTTTAAGGGGCGGTGCGGGTGCCGGGAACCCACGTCAGTTTCGGCCCCGAAACTCCGGATCAATGAGCGGCGGCGCGGGGCGGGGCGCAGCGCCCAGCCCGGCCCGGCCCCCGCTGCCGCCTTTCGGTTTCTCTCTTTTCCAGGAAGGAAAACACCGGCGGGGACCGGGGCCGCGCCCCCCCGCCCCCCACTTCCCTTCCCGCGCCCTCTTCCCGCGCGCGCGCGCGTTCATCGCCTCTCGCGCGGAGCCGCGAGCACGCGCAAGGCACACGCGCGCGGGGTGGGGGGGCGCGGGCGGCAGCAGCGAGGAGCGGCCCCGGCCCCGCGGCCCGACCCCCCCGCGCCATCCCGGCCCGCCGCGCCCGCCCCCGGCCGCCACTTCCCCTTGAGGGGACGGGCCGGGTCGGGCCGCGCCGCCGCGCCGGGAGAGGAGCGGAAAGTGGGGAAAGCCCGAGAACTTCCCGTCTGCCCGCCCGCGCCTGCCCCGTCGGGCTCCGCCGACTCCCTCCAGAGAGATGTCCGAGACTCCTGCTCAGTGTTGCATCAAGGTAAAGCCCCGTCCCTCCGCTCGGCCGGCCCCTGTCAGCGCGGGTCGGGGCGGTGGGCTCCGCCGTGCTTTGCCCAGGGTTATTTTGGTGGAAAGAACCGGTTTTCCCTCTTCTGTTTTTCACGCGGGCGGGCGGGGGTCCTTGCCCCCGTTTGCGGGCGCTCGGGCCGCGGTGCCGCGGGCTGTCAGCGCCCTGCGCCGCCCGGGGGGGACACGGCGGCGGGCCCGGCTCGGCCGGCGTGGCCCTCACGGCACGGAGCTGTGAGGGGGCCCCGGAGCCCGGCCCGGCCTCCCGCGGGCTCGGCTGCCCGCCGTCCCCGCCAGCAACTTCGTAGAAAGTTTCCTGCCGTCGGGGAGATGCAGCCGCTCCTGCTTCCGCCTGCAGTGAGTCGTGGGTCTTTCTTTCTCTCTGTCTCTTTCTCTCTGTCTTTACTCAATTTTAATATTTTCCTCCTTATCATCCGTATTACTGCTGTTTATTTTAGGGGCTGCGATTCCTGGCACCGCTTGCCGGTGGCAGGTTGGGGAGCCAGGGCTGCCCGCCCGGCCCCGCTCCGGCAGGGGCTGAGGGATGTGGGATGTGTTTCCCCCTGCCCTGGCCTGCTGGACAAGGGCTTACCCAGGGAAGTTTATCGTTTTAAGTGAAGGCGGCACGAAGCTGAGACAATGGAAACAAAATTGAGTTTCCTTTTTTGTCCAGACCCTTCCTATCTAGCAGCCCACTGCTTTCCTCTCGCCGTCCCTCACTCCCCGGTTTCGCATTTTATTTAGGAGTCGCTTTGTCTTGTTGCAAGCCAGGAATCTCCCTTCTGCTCCTGACTAACTGTGCCCAAGTAAGAAGGAGATCTTTAGTGGTTGTCTCTCCCTGCCCGGAAGAAAGAGGTGACTTCCAGACTCTCTCTGAGGGGAAGAGCCTGGAATAAACACTTATTCAGCATGATGCTCTTTTGTTTGCTTGTCCCGTGTGCGTACGGGGGAGTCTTGCCTTCTCGATGGTGGGAACACAATTTGAAAACTTCTGGGTGTGTTTTCTCTTGCTGAGTTAAATGCAATCAGGCCTGTGTCCCGTGAAGTCTCGTGGCTTAGAGTCTAGTTTGACTTTTCGTAACACAGACGGGCAAACTGGATAACGGGGTATTGTATGTGTGTTACTCTATGGTGAAATGCTAATGCAGGCAAAACGTGTTCTGTTAACTCATTGGCTCCCTAAAGATATACAAAATGAGATACAGCTGCTGTTTTTTTCTGGTAAACCCCATGGAAAGGTAGGATGTGTTCTCTGCACCAAAGAACACAAATATCATGAAAAAATGGTGTCCTATGAGCTGTATTTCCTTGTTTTCAATGTGTCATTTTGAAAATAGGAGGCTTCCTTCTGCTCTTACTGAAATCAACAACCATGCTGTTGATTTCAGGAACTGTAAAACTGGTTCTTACCCAGTGTCACTAAGGCATATTACAGAATTGTACTGTAAGAAATCAGTTTCCTAACTGGAGAGATACAAACTTTTCCTTCAGTTTTGACATTAACAAATGCCACATTTCCATTACATTTCAACAGTTACTGGAAAACTGATTTTTTTTTAAGACGTGACTGATTGTAAACATGATCTGAGTTTATTTTTTAATGTACCTTTTGTCTACATGTAGAAACTGCTGTTACTGGCTTCTCTGTTACTGGCTATTTTAGCAGTTTCAAATTTTAAAACTAAAACTTTGCAGTCAGAAATGTGAACTTCGAATGAAAGCATTTCTTCACCAGTCTAACCATTCTGGGTAGCTTTCCATTCAGCTTTTCTAACTATCATTGCTTTTTGGACACTTTTTAAACCAGGTTGTAAAGGTGATTGCGTTCAGCAGCTGGATTTAAGAGAAGCTGCTTAAATGGTAGCTGATTATGTGAATGCAGCTGATAATTTCTTCAGTATTCCAGTCTGGCTCATGGCATGGAATGTGATACTGAGGCAGGGGGAAAAGCAGCACAGAGTACCCCAGCTTCGCTGCCTTGCTCTGAAGGGTAGGCGAGTGTTGTGCTACGTGGGTGCCACAAAGTTTCACTGGCAGCCTGTGAACGGGAAGCAGTGGTGCTGGTAGGTGTGTTTTCTTGTTCTTTTCTTGGTTTGTTGTTGGTGTTCTTTCTTCCCCTTCCTCCTCCAATTCGGGACAGGGGTGCAGGCAGTCAATGCCACAGCACCTGGGCTGATGAGCACGGAAAGGTTCAGCAGAGAAGGTGAAGGCTGGTGCTTGCTTTGTGCCTGAGCTGCTCTCATCATGTTAGAGAAGTGCTCTAATCAGATTTGGGGAAACTTTGAGGAGGTGAAGTCTTGGTTTACATTTTATTACTGGTAATCAGTGTAAGCTTGCAGTAATATCTTGGACTGTGTGAAGCAGTTATCAGTATGTGTGTGTGATTGTGCATTGATGTGTGCTCGCTTTGCAGCAGGTATGTGCTGGCTGACTCCTGTGGGAGATGAAAAATACCCTGCTGATAGCCAGAGCCTGCCAGCACTTGGGTGTGTGCTGCCTGGCATGGCAGGCAGCCCCACTGTGCGCTTGTGGCAGGCAGGTTGGGCATGTGTGTAGGGTCTAAGGCTGTGGAGAGAACTCATCCTGGGGTTTAGAAGGTAAAATCTCGGGGGTGAGAGATGAGCATGAAGGTTGAGCCCTCAGTTTTTGCTACAGCTTCGGATGTCAGCGTGCTCTGCATTGACTGGGAGGCTTTGGGGTTGTGGTGAACTCCAGTCTGAGAGGGCTTGAAGGCTTTTGCCTCTGAGGTCACCTGGGAAGGGGCATCTGGTGTGGTTGTGACCGTCAGACTCTTTTTTTCAGAGATGGAGTATCCGTGTTGGTAGTAAACCTGCTCTCTGATCCTGAGCCACAGTAGTTAGCTGATGATATTGTTGTAAATAGTGCCACGGTGTTGGCACTCATTACAGTGCTGGCAAGTGATCCTCAGGGCCTCACCTCTCCTCCCACAGATGGGAGAACTGAGGCACCAGGGGAGTGTAAACATCTTGGCAAAGACATACACGGGAGCAAAAGCTCAAAGGGAGACAGACTAGCAGTTTAGACACAGATGATGATTTCTGTGATTAATTAAGGTCCATGTGGTGATAACTTCTGTTCAAAACCTCACCTGGAGCTTGCTGATTGTCAGGATCTCCTTAATTTTTTGCCTGAAGTGAATATACCTTGAGAATATCACTGTGGTGTCATACAGAGATGGAAAATACAGCAGGCAAGTGGAGGGCTCCCAAAGGGCACAGGTTAATTTGTTTATTTTTTTATAAATATGACACTTTCAGTTGCTTAGTCTGACTTACCATGTGACCATACAAGTGTGGAGTTGTGTGGGAACTAAAGCTGGGGATATGGGGGCAGATCTGCTGCTTCAGGTCTTGCAGACCAGGAGCTCTCAGAGCCCAGGGTCCCTTGTGTGCCCTGGCTGATGCTTGAGCTGAGACTCAGAATGCTTTCTGTGCTTTCTGTGGGCAGCACTGGAGGCACAGAGCCTCGCTGAAATCAGGTTTCACAGCTGTTTCAGTGCAGGTTTTATGTAGGTGCAAGCTTGGTGGATGTAGGTGCTCTCTCTTGTGCTGAGCTCAGTGGGGTGGCTGCAGGAGCCCTTCAGCACAAGATCTCATAGCTGAAGGGCTTCATAGAGTGCTCATTTTGGATTGGAGGATTTACTTTGTAATAGTTTAAAAAAAGGCAGAGGAAAGAAAAGCTGAAGGGCAAGGAATCAGTGTATTGTTTGAGTTTTCAATCTTTGTTTCCCCTGACTGGCTTACTTTTTGGATGGTGGTTTATGTCTCCTGCTACCTTATTGATGCTTTTTCTCTTTCACTGAAGGCTTCCCATGCTGAGGGACTGTTCAGCTCCTCATGGCCAGAATCTGCTGCCCTCAGCCAAGGCTGTGTATCTGCCAGTGCAGAGCATGTTCCTTAGTGTTTACTTGTGTACAGGGAGGAGGATCCTCCTTCTGTTAGTGCCAGTGACAAAGCTGTCATTAAATCCTGTGGTGGAGGATTGAGTGGTAGAAGAGCAGTGTTTGGAAGTACACACCATTTAACACCTGATTAATCACTTAACTCCTTGGCACCAAGTAAATTGAATCCCTCTGAAGCAAAATTTTACTAGCACTGCCCCAATTAAACAGTGGTCATTAGCATTCTCTGTGTCATTACAGGTGAAGTCAGTTTCCTGGGAGGCAACCCATTAAAAGAGCATCTTGAATCTGAAATGCCCCAGTGAAACAGAGTATACTTTAATGATAATTTATATGCATATTGCAGCGTGCATCCCGAAGTGCCTTGTGGAGGGAGGTGGCTAAACGGTGCTGTGCTGATAGAAATGATGATAAGAGGGACATGAAGTCTTCCACAGCGACACAGAAGCAATCTTTCTGCATTTTAGAGAAGTTATCTGAGTACTGCAGTGCTTGGGTTCCGAGTTCTTCTGACAAAAGTTCTCCTAATAAACTGCTTACTGCAGGAAAGGGAGAGAGCTGAGGTGACTGGTGGTTTTGGCCAGTAATGCAGTTTTGACCTACAGTCCAAAAACTGGCTAACTTGTTTCTGGGTTCTTTTTGCATATGTTTGTTTTGGAGTATTTTGTAGTTCACTGCCTTCAGCTGGGCATCCCCAGAGTACCAGCAGCTCAAAAGCCAGTGCTGAAATTGATCTGAAAGTGATCGCCTTGTCTTTTGCTTTCCCTATCTGTGAAACAAGCATAAAATAATAATAAATGTGCCTATGCAGGGCAGTAGCAGGGCTAAGTACTTGTGATGCAGCATGGAAACAAACAGTGTTTATTACAGAAATCAGGCACAGTGATCTGATTTGTACCTGGCTTTTTAGTTCACACAGTGCTTTGGGGACAGGGGTTTGGTGGTGGTTGTTTGGCTGTTGCTTTTTTGTGTGGGCCCCCTATTTCTGCTGAGCAGTCAGAGCAGGATCTTGGAGCTTCAGTGCGTCCTGAGGTCTGGATCAGCCACACGTG